ACACCCACACCCACACCCCACCCTTACAAATATTGTCTTTAGAGTCGCTTTTCACATTTCATTCCAGCTTTCGGATTAACGTTTTATGTAAATCAAAATGTACTGTACCGTAATGCTGTAAGACAATATCGAAAGCGATCCTTCTCTGCATTGAAAAATCTCCTTTCTTTGACCACTGTGTAATGTGTCTATCTTTCAACAACCCTCATGAGGTTTTGCTCTGAACTTATAGAATGCTAGCATGAATCCTGTGTTTCTATGAGGCGATATTTTTCAAAAGATCTAACAAGTTCGCTTGAAGAAGAGAGATCCCCCCATTTCTGTCTTTCTTGGCGACATTGTAGTGATGCTCAACATTCCACCTAATGCTAAATGGACACAGAATGGAATAACTGTAGCTGGAGGAAATGGATATGGCAATGGAATTAATCAACTCTCAAACCTAGGCGGTTTGTATGTTGATGATGATGAAACGGTATATGTCGCTGATTACTCAAATCATCGTATTATGCAATGGAAATCGAAAGCGGCGAGTGGCCAAATGGTTGCCGGTGGAAATGGGGCTCATCAATTATCGAATCCATCTGATGTGATTGTCGACAAAGAAACAGATAGTCTTATCATGTGCGATCGTTCGAATGCAAGAGTGATTCGATGGCCTCGTCAAGATGGGACAAGTGGAGAAACAATCATCTCCAACATCAATTGTTGGGGTTTAACAATGGACGACAATGAATCACTCTATGTCGTTGACCGTGAAAACAATGAAGTGAGACGTTATCGACGAGGAGAATCTCATGGAACAGTGGTTGCAGGTGGAAATGGAAGTGGAGATCGTCTCGATCAACTCTCTACCCCACAATACGTATTCGTCGATCAAGATTATTCAGTGTACGTGTCTGATCAGGAAAATCATCGTGTAATGAAATGGGTGGAAGGTGCAAAACAAGGTTTTGTCGTGGCTGGTGGTCATGGACAAGGAAATAGTGTTACACAATTGTTTTATCCTCAAGGAGTCGTTGTCGATCAGTATGGCTTCGTCTATGTGGCTGACTACGGGAATCATCGAATCATGCGTTGGCCCATAGGAGACAGACAGGGAAGTGTCATTATTGGTGGAAACGGTGCCGGAGAACAATCGAACCAACTTAATAGGCCCAGCGGTTTGTCATTCGATCGACACGGTAATCTCTATGTCGTCGATAACGGAAATAATCGAGTACAAAAATTCAATATCGATCGGAATGCTTGAAAAGTAACTAGTTTCGTGTGAAATTTTGTTTTCGCAATTAACTAATTATTGAATTAATTAATTAATTAATTTGTAATGATGAATATTTAAAATAAAGAAAGAAACTGAAATAAAAGCTATTATACAGCACATAGAATGGGACATTTGTAAAAACAAATGGAAGGCTTGAAATACATAGGAAAGCTTAAATAATAATTAAATAATAAAAAAAACAGGCCGGGAGAATTATTGCCCTGAGACGAACTCGAAAGACTTGGAAGCATTCAAAATACCTGGGAAAGCTTGAAATAAATTCATTCTATAGATGACTTACAAACTGCTCTAAATCAGTGAAAATGCTTGATATAACTTGGGATCGTAGAATTCTATAGTATTCCAATGATTGCTGAGTATTTTGGTTGTCCACAAATCCTTGGATTCCTATACCTAATGTAAAAACCTTCAAAATAATAAATGATAGGAAATGCTGGCAATACTTTCCAGTTTGAATTTCCTAATGTCTTTTCATACATCCTAACAACTTGGACTCCTTGAGGGATTCATATTTCTGAAGCACCCAAATACTCACAGATACGCAGCAATTCACTAAGTTTTCAGATTTCGTTGTCTGAACCAAAATCTTGAAATGAATGCATGCACTGAAATCCTTGGAAGTCTTCGTTTTCTTAGCTACCTGACTGTCTACGAGCATGTCAAATACCGGGTGACAGTTGGATTTCTAGAAATCCATGGTTCCCTACGGAGAGGTAATGTTCACAAATGCCTATGAATGCTCTGACTTTTTGGATATCATGGTTCACAAAGCATGCCTAATAATCCCAAATGCCTTCCAAAGTTAGGAATCCTTGAATTTCAGAGATTGCTAAGTAAGCCGGTCACTGAAAAATGACTGAAAAAGCTTGAGAATCCTTCGATTGTATATGGTGTTTGGAGTATGCCAAGCAATTACAAATGCCCTGCAAAGCTTGAAGTCCTTGAATTTCATGTGTTCATAACCTTGTCAGAGATTTTTCAATCGCTGGGCACGCTTGGGTATGTAGAATTTGGTGAGTTTCTACGTAGCATGCCTCAGAGTCTCACATGCCTGGAAATGCGTTGCATTCTTGGGTTTCATGCTTCCCCGAGTATGCGTTATATGTTTTTAACGATGCGAATGCTTGGGATTCTTGCACTCTATAGCTTCATAAGTAATGCTTGGTGCTGAGAAGTGACTGTGAATCCTCCGATTTTATGCTTTACTAAGCATATGTGACATCCATAAACGTATAGCGATGCCTATAATTCTTGAATATTGTGCTTTTAAAAGTATGACTGGCACTCCCTATCATCTGAAAAAGCTTGGAATTCTTTGATTTCTTACTTACATGACGGTCTATTAGCAAGCTAAATGACTGATGACCGTTGGATTTCTGGAAATTGATGGTTTCTATGTAAATGTAACTGTAACCAGCGTCTAGAACTACTTCGAACTCTAGAAGTTCATAGTATCCTAAGTATGATAGACATTCCATAACCACTAATATGCTTGAAACGGTTGAATTCCATGGCATCGTCAGCATGTCTCACACTGTGTAACTCCCAGAAAATCCTTGGACTCGGTCGATTTCATAGTTACCTGACCATTTCTGTGTATCTAAATGTGTGGCAATGCTTAGGCTTCTTTGAGTTCATGATTTTCTCCGTAAGCCTCACATTCTCCAATGCCGTAGAATGCTTGGAATTCGTCGTTTTCATAGTCTGATAGTTATCAGTCATACTCACAAATGTCTTGCTGGCCTTGGATTTCTCAGTTACGAATCGCAACTTGTGATGTTGTCTTGATATTTGTTGATTTTTGTCACTCTCCCAAGACACTGTGAAGTACAGTGCTGAACACAAATGACTTTGTAAATATTTCTCGATATATTATCGTACGATTTTCGGTGTGGGTGTGGGCGTGGGGTTGAGGTGTGCGTGTGGGGGCTGGGGTGTGGGTGTGGGTGTGGGTGTGGGTGGGTGTAGGTGTGGGAATGAACAATAGATGACACCCACACCCTAAGTATTTTTCTTTGCTTTTTTGTTTGTTTTTCGAGATAACTATAAAAAAGATTCTTGATTACTGTTCAAAGGGTATTCAAGAATAAAAATAAATACGAGATTTTTCTTCAAAGTTCTGATATTTCATACGTAATCATGTATTCCAAATTCATCCAAATGATTCCGGTTCAAGTACTATCAATCTATGGGTGATATGAAGTGAACCAAAGTTGGCGCTATCCAAACTTGAGTCCAAAATCCATATTTTACCATTTTTACCATATACCACAGAAAGTCATCGATGCACACCAATAATGTATATAATTGTTAAACAAGTCTTTATTAATTATTTAGCACTCATCTTAGTTACTACTAATTATGTGAGTACTTCTCTAATTAGAGCTAATTAGTCTAGTAGTAATTACAGTAAACACCTTCCTATATTCTTGAGGTACCTTTAGGTCCTTAAGTCCTATACTCCAGAGGTACCTTTATGCCTTCAAGTCCTATATTCCAGAGGTACCTTTAGGT